GTACGATAATTGAGATCAGGGTACTTGGCCTTAAGCCTTTTGAGCCTCCGACGATCGGCCAATCCCCTCGATAAGCGTTTATTATGGACGAGATTCTCAAGATCCGCGACTACATCGCCCTTGGCTTCGCCCTTTTACTCCCTCTCTCTCTCTCTCTCTAGGTTTCTCTCTGCGGGCCAATCCTCTTCAGGTTGCGAGATTGCGCCGGTAATTGCTCCTCGATTTCACCTACGTACACACGGCTTTCTATTGTTGCACATGAGCGTACGATCTCTCGTGTGTACATATGCGAAGGGGAGAGAGGGCGGCGGATAGGAGAAGGGAGGAGAGAGCAATCAGTGACGAACTCTCGAGACTGTTCCGGCTGATTGCAATTAAGAGGATACCAAACCAGCATCGACGTCGCTCCTTGACCGTTCCCCGTATTAGCATCCAGAGAATCGCGTACCCCGTGAAAGGGATCAACCTTCGAGGTGAAACGCAGATCACTCGAGCTTCCGGGAATCCAAGAGTCTCGTTTCCGATTCGAGTCGATACCACGAGTTAAAGCGAGTAGAAGCGGAATAATTTTTAGGGTGGTGTTTGGGACGCGTCTCCGCTGCGTAATCCAGGCCGAAAGCGATCGGTCACGGAGGCGAAAGAGAACTCGCGTGAGCGTTTCATTAATTGAAAGCGGCTCGGCCGGGACACGTAAGTCGCTCTAACCCGGGAAACGGGCAGGACAACATCGATTCGGGGTTAGCTTCACGTTGAAATTAATCCAGGTGAGCCAAAGTTACATCTGGCTTCGGCTAAGCCGGGCTTTTTGGTGACTTAGCCGACCACGTGACGCCGGGTTTCGTCTTACTTGCAGCTCGATATCCTCCGCGACGCATCACCGAAAGTCCCTCGATGACTTTCCCCTTTCGTGCTCCTCTCCCTCCTCATACTCTAACTCGGATACTCCCGGATTAAGGGACATTTTCCACGGCTAGTTTGGCTAGTAGATCTACCGCGAAAATTCACGCGTATAAAAATATCTCTCGAAGCAATGGGATTCTTGCCGGAGCACGATCCGAGGAGACAACGAAAACATTCTGTAGATCCTCTCGTCTGTTCCGAGAGTATTTTTTTCATGTAGCGGAAGAAGGGAGAGGCAGCAAGGATCTTCGTGACCCCTCGTTAAGACCGATTAGCGATCTAAACTTCGATGAACTCCGAGTTCGGGAACCCGCTGGGATATGCGATTTCCCTCTCTCTCTCTCTCTCTCTTCTCTCGGGAATCCCGTTGGACCATCCTTGAGGATCGACGGTATAAAGACCGGTTTATCTTTAGTGCCCCGGCACCAGACGTTTCTTCGCGTGGAACTCGATTAAACTTCCATTGCAACTTTTACGAGACACTGTCGGGGCTTAGGTAGGTATACGATCGCAAGCTCCGCGGCCAGCCCCCTACTCCCGGCGATCAAAAAATCCGTAATCTGCTAAAAACTAGTAATTGATTATAAAATTGCGGCCGGCGGATGGGTATAACCGCACGGCGAGAGAAGGAAAGCTGGGTTAACTGTCGCGAGTGTGATTTAAGCGAATACCGCGTCCTGAAACGCGCGGCAAATATATTTCCCCCGTTGTTCCAAGGTTTCCTACCGAGCTTCCTACCCCTCCGGTATAATTTTAACGAGAAACCGTCGACGTTTACGAAGAATATACGATCGCGAACGACCACGACAGCCGCCTCCGAGTAAATCGCCGTAATTGATCCGAGAAATTATCGTAACGACGCAATTACCAGCTTCTATCTCGAGCGAGGGAGACGGGGAGAGAGAGAGAAAGAAAGGTGTATAAGTGGTCGAGAACAGCGTGGAACATTTCGACCGAACTGTACGTCAATTTCGTTGGATGAAAAGAGAAGAAGAGAGAGATATCGAAAATTGGTGGGCTGCTGAAACAAACAACTGGTTGGATTTATCGGTAGAATCGATCCTTCTCCTCTATTCCTACCGGTGTCTGAAACCACCTTAAGCTGATCAGAGAATTGGTTGGTTCCTGCAACGTTCGTCGAGACGCCCGATAGATCCTCTCGTATACGATCGCGATGGTTAGACGACGCCGATAAAACGTAAGAATCTTCACCCGAGTGCGTCGCCGGTAACTGTCGTCGAATTCCACGAATATTTGCGAAGAATCCGCGAGCCAAAGGCAAACGTCGAGTGTTACAAGACGTTCACCGAGGGGTTGTAGAGCCAAAGGAGGCACTCGGCGAGCGTCTAGAGTGACTGATTAAACCCCGGGTTTTATAGGCATTACGCGTCCCGGGTAAAATACCTCCGAGCGTATAAGTATACGCGCGCACCGCCACCGCAGCAATCTATTTACATGCATAAATATACCTGTATTATGCATAACGCGTATACGAAACGATGGTTGTTGCAGCGGCAAGTACACTACGTAAACACCGCCGGTTCCTCCGATTTTCCTTCTCCCCTTCGCGCTTGCGCTCCCTCAACTTCGATCCGGTCTTTTCCGACAAACTTTCATCCGGGGGAAAGTTTCGCGCTGTGATTGTGTCGTCGAAATCTGCATCGCGTTCCCCGCGATCCTTGGCCGTAGGTTACCCCGACGTCTTTTTCGCCGAACTTTCGGCAAAGAGATACGTGCGTACGTGTGTACAGTTGAAGGAAGAAATATAGGAGAGCGTTTCACGTATTCAAAGGGGAGACTAGAAGAAAGTTGGAATACGTTTAACGTAATTTTACGATCTCGCCACTGTATTTCTTCGAGCGACTGTACACCTGGCGGAGTTGAGAATTAAAAACGTTCGTCACGGGAGGCTAACGAGCGTGCCAGGGCTGTTCCACTTAAACAGTGCCGTGCAGCCGTGGAGCACAGCTGGCCAAGCCGCGTTGGAAGAATACAGTTTTGTTAATTATCCGAGGAAAACAGCAGGCTGGCTCCCACGCTGGGCCACTATCAACTAAAACGTCACGTGCGAAAGAGCGGCGGGCGTGAACGCGAACCAAGAATTAGCCTGCAAGATTTCTCGCCCCTGCCCCACCCTCTTTCAAGACCGACCCGCTGCATTATGCTCTCGGTGTCGATTTCATATCGTCCTCGTTACACAATCAACGCTCCGAACAACGGACTCTGTGTACAGTTTTATAATATGCAAAGTAACCTGTTCTTTCACTCAGCTCTCCAACTCTGTTTCGAAATATGTTACTTTACCCGAAGTATCTGGAGGTAAATTAGTCGGTGAGCGAGACAGGCAAACTTTTCTTCTTTTTATTTTTAGATTCGTTTTAACCGGTCCATTTCAAGTTTCCGTATATACATACGTCGTACTTGGGTTGTTGGCACGACTTCTTTCGGAGAACGATACTCGTTAAACTAGCCGGGTACAGAAGGGTAAATGAAGTTTGATCGACAGCAGGCCGGCAACCTGCGGAAAGGAGTTGTTCCGCGAATTTTTCACGGTGGAAACATTTTAAACGAGTCCACGGCCGACCAGAATCCACATAGAGGCGTTTGCAGAGGCTGTTTTCTCAGGCTTGTGTGTACGGTTTACCGCGGCGCGGCGTGTAGCCGGCGCGAGGGAGAAAAAAAAGGAACGGAGGATGGTAAATGGCCAGGAGAGCAGTCGTTTGCTCCGCGCTCTGTCACACAATATCGTTAATCCTTGGCTCTAATTTGCGTTTCTTCATCCGGCGACTTCGCCACGGATTCCGGTTTGCCTCTGAATGCGCGGGGAAAAAAGGGATTCGGCCGGTGAAAGCTGTAACAAATATACATTTCGGGACGAAGAGGAACGCGAGAAGAAGAAGAAGTAGTAGGAGGCGGAGAGAAAAAAATGCAAGGTAAAAAGCGTTCCCTTAATTGGACAGGTGATTTAATTAGGCAGTCGCACGAAACTTGTTAGCCGGGGGATAATTCTAAGGAAAGTACACTTCTAATTGAAGTTTCTCGATGACAACAGTTCGGTAACTAGCTCAATTAAGAAAATTGCAACAGAACGAAACTCGCGGAAGCACAACCCGCTTCTTGTCTACATTTTTCATACTCCGCTGTTTGTTGCCAAACTGGCAAGTTTTTTTTTTTAAGGATTCTACCTAGGAAAAGCGACAACTTTGCCGCTAAAAATTTCATCTTCCGTCCGATCTCCGAACCATTTTTCCCCGTCCTCGCGTACAAGCGGCGAGCAAATTCGACGAGTTTCGCGGAGAGGAAAATTGGTGCGAAGAAGAGGAGGAGCAGACGAAGGGCGAAGGAAGAACGATAGAAAAAGCTGCGCTACACGCGGGCTAATTACAGAACGGGGAATTCACAGGGTTGTAATACACACGGCCGATTGTCCCTGGAAAAGCTTGTCTACCCGGTTTCATAATGATTATTATCGCCCCATTTGGAACATCCCGCGGTTACCTGTTTATTAATGTATGGATATATTACGATTTATTCGCTGGTCGAGCAACGATTGCGCGATTATTACAGGCGAGGAGGCGGTCGTGCGTCGTTTAATTATGGCCGCGATAATTTTAAATAAATTACCGTTGTTCATTTGTCAATCCCCAGTTTCCTCGTAAATTTCATCGAGCCCTCACTGAAACGGCGCGAACGCGCGGAATTTGTTAATTACGCCGGTCGTTTAAACCGGGTGAGAGACTCCGTCCTATCCTCACCTCAACTCTCTCTCTCCCTCTCTGCGTAGTCTCCACGTGCGCACACGTACACTAACTATCTCGAATTTATGCCTGTTCAAGGACAAGACGAGGGAATCGTGCTATCGCCGCTGATAGGAGTGGCGGTCGGTGCTGTGGTCTCGCTTGCCCTCCTCATCTTTGTCGTTGTGATGCGCGCACGACGGGAGAGAGTCTCGAAGCCACGACACGAAAAACCGGCGGAGCTCAGCGAACTTCCGGCGCAGCAGTATCCCTCGCAGAATCCTCAGCAAACGGTAGAAACCGATCCAGACGTGATTCCGAATAAATTCGGTAAGTTTGCGGTGTAAAAATGGAAAAGAAAAAAACAAGCGAAACGAACGATCGATCTCTGGCGGCGGCGGTGGCCGGTCTGGATTTTCGAATAATGGCCAGGAAACGTTTCTCGCAACGCGCAGTTAATCTAATTGCACGGGTTACGAGCCCCAGCCACGATTTGTAGTGGCGGCGTGTATAGATTTTATTCAATTACCACAGCTTACACGGTGCAAACGGCGGTATTTCATCGCAACAAAAGAGATCGAACCGGCTCGACAGATATTTTCCAAAAACATTTTCCATTCAGGCCAGCTCGAAGCGTGATTGCAGAGAGCCGGTTCGAAGGGTGGGCCAGGCGGGGGAGGTTTTCGGCCAGAGAGAGAGCCGATTCGTTCGATAGTCCGAGAAGTTCGTGGCCGGTTTCGAAGGGGCGGGATAGAAATAGCGGCGAAACGTCGATGAGATAGTGCATGTGTTTTCCCGGAGAAACATACCCAAGTGTATTTTCCTATTCTTCCTTAGCGATTCCTCTCTACTTCACTCTGTTCTATACCTCTCCTCTTTGAATATAAACGAATGACTGACTTGGGTGGAGGGAGGGTTCACCGAGAAACACGACTCCGTCGAATTGCCAGGAATTCTTTAATAATACACTCTTTACGAAAAATTCTCCACACATGTGTATCTCGTTGGAAAAATTGCATGGAAACTTTCCCGATAAAAACGAAGCCTCTCGATACTCATACCCGAAGTTAGTCATTCCTGTGCTATCGGTACGAACTTGCCGGATCGGGAAATGCGAGATAAAAAAAGAGAAAAAAGGGAGAGAGGAAAAAAAAGGGGGTAGAAAAAGCGAGAAAAAAAGACGACGCGCGAGGCTAATTGTGACGGGGTGGGAGGAAGGGCAGGCTCGTTTCGCTTCATAACGTTGCCGGCGAATCCCAAAAGAATTGTCCCCGGTCCGATGTTGCAGAGGGCAACCTGGTGGAAGTGAGTCCGCCGAGTTATCCAGGCGGATATCCCCCGGGACACTGGGTCACGCCCGGACCTACGCCAAGCATAGACGAGCTCTGCCACAAATTCACCGGAAGACCGACGGAGCTGAGGTTACCATCGAGAAGCACGATACCGAGTTTACAGAGCATGCCCATGACGGGAGTGATGGTGGGCGGTGGAGGCGGTGGAGGCGGCGGACAGGGCGTCGTGGTCACTGGGGGCCAACCAGCCGGTATGGTGCTAGGCGGTGGTCAGGGCGTCGTCGTGGCTGGCGAATGTTTGGACGGTGAGGCGATCAAGAGACGGCTGATGGCGAACAGGCTTCCCGAGAGCTGCGTCTAGAGAACGAGACCCCCGTTGCTGCTCTCTATACTTCTTACGAACATTCTCATTCACTTAACGCAAAACCACCGTTGTCCCTTGTCCTCTATTCCTGAAAGCTTCACGATCGTTCGCCGCGACGCGACGGCTAAAACACACATATGTGTACATATACAACGGCGAATGCGACTTTTGACTCGAAGACAATCTCCACCAACTGTATCTGTTGCCGAGAGGATGAGCGAAACATGCGAGAGTTCTCGGATTCGTCCAACAGTTTTCTTTTCCTTTTCTTTTTTTTTAACTACCGGATAATACTGTATCCGATAGAATTGTTTCGTAAACGTTTTCCGAACAGTTGGACAGGTTGTTTTTTCCTTTCTTTCTTTCTTGTTTTTCTCGCGCGCAGCAGGAGGGAAAGAAGAAGAGTCGAGCTGGGACAGAGTTAGGTGAAAACTTGGCGTTGCCGGAGTTCTCCACCTGGGGGAAGTACGCCTCTCCGTGGAAAGTTGTCTCCTTCTGTCTTCGAACGTCGCGCGTCGCTCGAACTTTTCTTCTACCTCTGTTTCCAATGATCATCGACACTGTCTCCTCGCATATATCTTCCTCCGCTACGTGATTCACCGGGCGGACCCGCGCGGCGTGAAAATTCCCGCTGAAAAATTGCGAACAAATGGCGACACAGTCTCGGGTAACATATCGAGGGGACGCGACTATCTTCCCCTTTGCACCAACGAAGAAACGAGGGGACACCCCGCAATTTTGAATTTTTATCCGGTCGAACGAAGAAGAAGAATATTAGCGGCCTCTCGAGCTCGGACGAAGCTTCTATCTCTGCCGTAACGGACGTAAATAAACCCGCGTCTGAGCCTACCAATCGAATCCTCCAGACGTCGAGGCATTAGGCCAAGAAACGCGGAGAGAAGATAAAAGGTTCTCGAGCCCCCCCCTCTTCCGGTTGCCCCGAATGAAGATGGATGGAGGAACCGCGCGAAAATATACGTACGATGGGAAGCAACGAAGGGAGGAAGAGAACGCGGGAGAGAGAGAGACGGAAAGGAGACGGGGGAATGAAAAGATAACGCGATGTTACTTTGCCGAGTTGCGGGAAGGAGCGGTTCCGAGGCTGATCAATCAGTTTCGACGGCGGAAAACATATTCGTGGCGGTGGTAGTTTGTTACGTTGTCGATCTGTTCGTTCCTTCGATTATTTCAACCGTAGTCGTTCATTCTTCTTTTCTTTCGACAGCGATTTGGAAATTGTACGAAATCTCGAAGGACGTTTGATTCAACGAAAATCAACTGTAGTAAGCAATGCGATAAGCAAGAATCGACAATAAGTGGTGCATGATCGTGAATAGAGGCTTAAAAAAAAAGAAATTGTGTCGTAACGACGAATGAAATTTGTATTCGAGGAGAACAGTCGACTTTTGAGATCAGTTGATAAACTGCGATTGCGAGATTTCGAAATTCCTTCTCATCATCGACGAACTACCTTTTTTCACGGTTTAGCCTAATTTCTTCGATTCGCTCGAATCATCCCTTGTAAATATACACGCACGTTCACGGCGGAACGATCAAAGGACGACCAAGCGGCGAAAAATCTAGAAGAAGAAGAAGTTTCGCGCGTCTCGTCGAGGAGAAATCTCGGATGGCGCGACTGCTCTCCTAATTTCATTCGAATCTCGGGACAAGCAAGAGTAGGAGGGAAATAAAGGTGGCGGCGAGAGCCCGAGACGAGCCTTTATGCTCGGGTGAAAGATTGAATTTATAAAGGTCAAAAAAACCGGGCTTCCACGTGACACTTCGCGACCAAGTCATGAAGCTTGACGGCGAGGCTACGAAATAAAAAGTGACAAAGTATATTCCTAAGAGAATGAAGTGACGCGAACTTCGCCCAAGACTCTCTTTCGCTCAACGGTGTGTGCGGGTTCGTACTTTTGAAGACGCGCAACAGGAGACGGTACGAGGGACGTGTGAAGAGTTTTATCGTACGCGTTTTCGAATAGGGAAACGACGAACGAAGAGATGATGAAGGGAACCGTCGAATCGAATCTCGAGTGTTTTCTTTCGATGTATTGAAAATGAAGCGAAACAAACCAAAAAAAAAAAGAAAAAAAATGGAATAATGAGAGAAGGAAAAAAAGAAAAAATGAAATACAAAAAAATAACTAAAAGTCGTTGCTCGTTAGTTAATGTCGTATCGTTGTACATAAGTATGTGTATCGTTGAAGAATTTTCTGCGTGTGTGTGCGTGCGTGTGTGTACGATGAAAGGGAGAGAATCGAGCTCGCGAACATGGTCGATAATATCGATGTTGGAAAAAGAAGTGAGCCGAGAAGAGCGAAGAACGGTGGTGGCGCGGCGCAGGAAATCGAGGCGATTCGAAATTTCGCGGTATGTATCGTCGTTCACGGGGCTTGTTTGCGTCTCTCGTTCGAGTGGACAGGTCGTTATTTTCCTCCCGAAACGAGAGAAAAAAGAAAGGAGGAGAAGAGAAACGCTCGAAACGGACAACGATCTTTGTTAATTAAAGTAATCGCGCTATCCTCGCCGCAGCGTAGAATTTAGGACGCGCTTACGGGAAATCGGATCGAACGAGCACTGCCTTTTTTCTATCGAAAAACACCCCTCTCGTGTCACGACCAATCGTCGCCACGGCGAAATTGCGACGAGTCCCCGTGGAAACGAGCGACCTGATCGACGCGATCACACATTTCTCACGTCCATGAAAGCATTAGCCTAATGTATATCCGGTTGTCAATCTGGCGGGAAAGCGTTTTTTTCTCTTTTCTCCCCCTCGACGCGTTTCCAACAAAACGCACAAAAGCCGGGAATTCGTATCGAAGGAGATTCTTGTACACGCTGAAAAAACGTTTTTCATTTCTCGCAAAGCGACGCGGCAACAGTACGGAATAATGGAGGAAGAAAAAGAAACGGCGGGTGAATGTTGTTGTTTTCTTCTTTTTTTCTGTTCGTTTTCTGTTTCTTCGTTTCCTAGACATGTATATTTCTCTTCCTCTTTCTTCTCCTCTGTTCGTAAGAGATTGTCTCACCCCGACGATATCGATGGCGCAAAATTGTTGGCGAGCGAATAAAACGATGCGTCGGTTGTTACCCGTAGCTTGTGCAACGGAATCGAACGCGGAACACAAGAGGAAACGAAATTTTGCAGACTTAAACGAATGTACATAATCAGCATGATGCGAGGTCCGTGTAAATCGACTATATTTTAAGTTCACTGTATAGGTGATTTCATATCAGAAACTCCATATCGTCTACTAACTCGTATGTATATACTACATAAAATTTCGATCTGAATAAACTGTTTAACTGTCCGAACTGTGAGCCGAGCTTTGAATCACCTCCCCCGAGGGCTGTTCCAGATCCTCCGCGATACTTGCTCGATTACCATTTCGGTAGAATGTTATTAGAAGCGAAACTTGCGAGCAACATGAACGACGGGGTGGAAAAAACGTGGACGAGCGGATCCGCGATGATTAACCGGAAAATTTCGGATAGTATCGATCGTTCACGCTTTGAACAATGGATATTAATCGACTCTAAATACAGAGGCTGGAACTGCAGCGTTAGGTCGTTAAAGCAAAGACCGAAACTATCGGTCTTGATAACGACTCGCCGATCGTGGAGCACGTAGCCGAGGCGAACGGTGATAAAACAAAGATTAACTCGTACGATAAATTCGACGAAAGGGTTTCTTCTCGAGAATTCTCGCTCCTTTCGTCGGGGGGCTAGATTTTGCGAATTAACAAAACTACTACTCTTCTCTCGATTCGCCTCAGAAGCGGAGAGTTGAAATCCACCCCTTGGGCTCGCGAGAAAATTCACTCGGTCTTCGGATCCTCGATGATCTCTGGAGACCGTTAAAGTATCGTTTAGCATAATCCAAAATTTATAAAAGCTTACAACCACGGGGAGATATTTCGCATGGGGGAGAGTCTGGGAGAGAGAGAAAAAATTCAAGCTGAAAATCGGGGATTGTGCGAGGGTGGTTTCGCCAGATCGAATTTTCCGATTCGACTGATCCTTCTTCGATTAAGGCCTAACCTTCGTTCCGGTGAAACTTTTCGCCGTTATTTCGGCAACATGTTCGAGGACACTTTTATCCGTAGTAGCAAAGCACGAAGAGACAAAGCGCAGAATTTTACGGCGATAGAAAGACACCGCCATAAAAATCGCTTAAGATGCAAGCACTGTGAGAAATCCCTGGTGTGCCCTCCGGTGTCTCGAGCGAGAGTAAAAAATGAACGAAGCTTTGTACGGAATTTTAATCCGTCCTTGTATTTCGCGTGCTTACGCCCATCCCTACGTACGTACTTATGTACGTACCGTGGAGAAACATCTCGAGAACACCTTTATCGACGTTCTCCGCAAAGCCAGAGCGAAGGTGGAAGGTCGTCGCAATCACCTATTGCACCGAGCATTTTTATTCTCCTACCTACGCTGGCTGTAGAAACGCTGTTCTTCTCTAAATTCACACTTTATTTATACTATATATTAGAATTTTATCACGAGACTGAAGAAGACGATACGGCACACAAAGTATATTATTTCCTATTACTCGAAAAATGTGGTTCGCGTTAACTCCCCTCTTCTCTACCTCTCCTCTTCGTTTCCAATTTCTCCGCGCCCATTTTCCCTGTGTCCTTTCTCACGCCGTCTTTTTCCCCCGTTTCCACGGACGTTTCTTCGTCGCCAGCCGTGAAACTGTCAAGGCGCTCGCGCAACTTTGTCGGCACGCTCACTATACAACTCATCACGGTGAACACCACGTCGTTGTATTTCTGTATCATTCTACACTTGATGTCTCTGATGCTAGGCAACTGGACCTGTGGAACGTACAACCATTTACCGAGGTAATTAGAAAGGAAAAGTTGCTCTCACGATTACTTCATCTGCGTCGTATTCTTCCTGCAAAACTGGTCCGATCGTGGCCACTATCCTGCGATACAGGTCCTCCACGTCCGCGCTGCTTCCCCACAGGCCCTCGGAATGCGTCCAATAAACGAGACCAGCCGCGATGCCACTCTTCAGAAGAAACAGCAGAGCTCCGCACAACTTTTGGGCAAGCGTCCTCGGTGGTGCTTTCGGCGGACAGTCGCAGAGCTACGCAGAAACGGTCGCCTCTGTCGTTTCTCTTCGCATTTTTAACAACATTTTCCCTCCCGACTTCGTTTCGAGCGTTATTCCCCGTGTGAAAGGTGTTTCGGTGCAAGGAAGAAAGATCGAGGCAGATCGTTCGGAAAGGCCGTAGTTGGAGGAAACTCCGGCGAGAGAAAACGTAGGTGGGTAGAAAGCAGGGAAGATTTCCTGCGCGTTTACGAAACCCTCGAGAATATCCGGCTCTCTATTCGTCGAGTAGACCCTAGAGCCTTCTAAACGCGACGATGCCCCCAACTCGTCAGGTCACGTACATACGTGTCCCTAACAAGTACGGGAACTCCGAACTGTCCTCCTCCATTAGAGAGCCATCGGCGTCTCTATACCTGTGTACACCGGACTGTCAGGCTAATTCCAGGTAAACGCAACTACGTATCGACTAACCAATTCCGTACAGGTGCTGTGCAGCACCACCATCCACTTGCACGTCAATATCGCACAAAGACGAGTCGAACTCACAGTGACAGGAACGCACGCGTTCGCGTGAATTAACGCCAAAGGTCTCTTGTTAACGAGTCAAGCCAGAACCCACCAAGGGAATCTCATTAACGGTAAATATGTATCCACCTCGGTCACCGCGTTTACCTCTCTCTCTCTCTCTCTCTCTCTCTCTCTCTCGATAACCAAACCACTAAGTACTCGAGGATCGGAAAAGCGACAGTCGCTTGATAAAAAACTACAGTAAATCGTTCACCTTCGGTGGACAGGTTCTCTGCATGTCTTTCCTGCTGCAAATTTTTATAGTAACAGGCCTTGGTGTCCAATAAGAAGGTCCTGTCGCGGTGGCCACGGCAGGACAGGGTTGCATTACATCGGCTTGGACAAGCTTCTGGATCCTCTTCGGTCTTATACATGTCTTTGGGTTGGAAAGGTTGATGGTCTGAGCGACACACTTGGTACCCTTCTTCATCTTACGCTCCTTTCACCGTTCCCGATCGAAGCCTTTGCCGCGAAGATACTCCTCCACCGAGACGAAGAATTATCCGGGAGAAATGGGAAGTCGAACGACAAAAGATTTTTCAATATGGACAAGGGAAGGCTTCTTCTTCCTTGTCGAGCGGGCAAAATTAAACCGTTAGAAATTTTCCGGGGAAATCTGGCCTCGTTGCTCTGGGAGAAAGGGACAATTCGAACGGTACCTTTACGAATCAAAAGGAAATTCTGGTTGGAGGAAGTTAGGAAATTTCACTTTGCATCGTATAACCTTGAACGTTACGACGTTACGAATTTATCGGCGGAAGCTGTGGTGATCGGTGAGCGAGTAGCCCTCCCTTTGTTCACCATCGAGGAATTTTGTTTGCTGGTTTGCCGGAAAGAGATGCGAAGAAATACTCAAATTTCGATCATATTTCCTGTTAATACATGTCGCGCGAATTTTGATAGGCACTTCAGAAGCAGAAACTTCAGGATCGTCCTCGCGTTCCTTCCAACGATATATCGATACGCGTTCCTACAATCGCCGCCAATTCATTCAGACAAATTGCGAGACGCGTGAAGGACGTTCTCGAAGAGAAAAACTCGCGTTCGGCGGCTCGCGCAAAGTGGAACAGGTGCGCGTGACACGCGCGAGGATAAATCTCCGCGGAAGCGTAGCTGTTCGATTCTCGTCAGCGGGATGGTGGTAGACTTGGATGGTGGAAAAGAAGAGGAAGAGGGTTTCGCAGATACGAGGCGACGTGTACGAAGAGGCCCAGCAGGCGTTACGTATGGCGGCCGTTCAGTCAAAGTTTCGCTCGCGAAATCCTCGCGTTCGGTTCTTCCTGCTTTCGCTGGAGCGGCTGATAAGAAAGAAGATATAAAGGAGGCGAGATTACAACGCCTAAGAGGGGTGAGAGAGGGAGAGACCTGCTCGGTTACTTGATGAAACGGAGTTTCCAACGAGAGCTCCGCGCCACTTTTCCGCTGCTACGTGTTGCAGCGGCAACCTCACGATTCCTTATTCATCAACGCCATTGGAAAAACTCGTGAAATTTGCATCCGACACGCTCGTACATCCTTCATGTTTATGCACCCGACCGCCACCCTCTGTCTACAGTGGTAGTGACCCTCCTAAACGCCTACTCCTTCTTTCCTCTTTTTTTTTATTATTTCTCTACACCCCGCCGTCGTTTTAATTTTTATCACGCGAATGTGTGTTCTGTGAAAAGTCGACCACGTCGAAGCGATAAGGACCGCCGTCTCGTCGTTCCACGTCGACTGGTGTCGTTTTCGCCGTTTTCACGGGAGAGGAAGTAAGGTGTACGAGCTGGAGGAGAAACGAGGTAAACTTTGAGTACTGGCGGGTGTAATAAATACGTAGAGGAGGTTAAAATAACGGGAGACGTGATTGACAATCAGGCGTGTCGGTTGGAGAAGGTGGTTTCGAGGGAGGAAATTTGTTCGTTGTCGCGAGCGGTTTGTATCTGTCGCTCTCTGGTCGCGCCATTCGAGCGACATACATCACTTTTATCGCGAGATTCCACCGGCACGATATGCTTATTAATAGACACCGGCGTCGCGGCCTTACTGCTTCACCGAAAAATATGGCCCTTGAATTTTTGATAAAAAACAGTGAAAAAGAGGGGGGAAATTACGGAAGCGGGCAGAAGAGAGAGGGAGGAGGAGGAGAAATGAAAAGGTCGATCGAGATGTGTAATGCGCGCGACTATCTTCCGCCAGGTTGAATGCGTTGGTTCGGATCGATGGGGAGAAATAAATCAAACGTTAATAAATCAACTTTAACATTCCGAGCATCTCGTTTTATGGGCGTAATGCTCGCTCGATAAAAAGAAACCGAGACGGGATCGCGTCAAATATCGTCCCGAATGGGACGAGCAGAAATTGCCGATCGATGAAACTCCCTCGATAAGCACGCCCTTTTATCTGCTTTCTCTCTTTCCTCGACGATTATGCCGTGAAACAGCGTATACCTTCCAAGTGGATTCGACCTACGCTATCCTTCGCGATAGTCGATCGTTTTTATTCGTTCGAAACAATTTTCGTTAACAGATCCAACGCTTGCTACCTTTTCGTCGCGAGATCCATCGATCTCGGAGGCGAAAGGAAACTTCTGGAAAATAATGAACCGAAATGTAAGGGTGGAAGCCTTGCCTCGCCCTTCTCCCTCGTCCTTCCCCCCGTGGAAAAGGGAAACCGTGGAAAATTCTCGGGTCGGATGCACGCTCGTCGGTCTGGAAATGTTGAGGCTGAAAAGAAGCATCGCGGTTCCCTGGCAAAAAGGTGACGTTACGGAAGGAACAGCGGTTTCTACGTTGAAGAAAAGTTGGAGATACACCGGCGAAACGGTGGTCGAATAGCTTGGCAAGAAAAGTGGAAGGGACGAAAGGGAAAAACGAGGGGAGAGAGGAGGAAAAAAAGTGGGGTGTTTCGACGTTGCTGAAGACCCGGTAATTACATCGGAAAGGGAATCAAGCCATAACTTGGCGAATAATTAATTTATAATTAAGAGAAACCGTGTAATTCACGGAATATCTCGGATAGCGTGGAACTTTTGAGAAAACTAAACCTACCAGAACTTGGATTTGCTCTTCCTCCCCCACCCCGACGCTCCGGATTCTGCTTGTGCGATCTTCCTGAAGGAGATCATCGACGGGAACGGCGGAAGCTAACGACTAATTGACACGGATAGGAGCGGAGAACGTTTTCAGTAATCGAGCACCGTTTCGCTGGATCATTTTCGTCAAACTTTTCCGGGGGGAATCCGTCGTGGTATTTCCTCGATTCGATGCAAAAAGGGAGGAGGAGAGTGAATAAAATACGAGGTAGCATTTGATAGAAACTCGTGAACCGTAGACGCTAATGCCGAGAGAAAAGTAAAACGTTTAGTAGAGATAGATGTAGCGAGAGAATGAGAGAAAGAGAGGAAGAAAAATGAGCATATAGCGTTACTACGCGGCGGGAACATAGGAGAGGATGGAAGTGGGCGATTTTCAGGCAGGTCGTTTCAGGAAAGCGTTTAAGCGATGGACTCTGAACGCGTCCAGGTGGATATTTCACCGGGAGTAAATCTGGGTGACGCGGATTAAAAGGTATATTATCGTTTGTTTGGCGCGACGGGCGAGCGTGCGCGATAAAAGAAAAAAGGAAAATACGGCCGGAAACGGGGTATTGCAAGACGATAAAGGCAGATTCACGATCGTTCCCTACGCTCGATGGTTGGACGTTAAGAAGAGCGTGTGTAGGTCATAGACCTTGTAACGAAGGTTGCCTATACATATATAGGTGATGCGGAGAGAAAGAGCGCGGTCGAGTAAGGAGAGAAGGAAGGACGAGGGAAAAGGGACCTCAGGAAACTAATTTTCGCGATATTAGTCTTACGAAATTGGTTATTGATGTTCCATTCGTCCGCCGATAATGGCGGACGGAAGCGATTCACCCGGTGAAAGGTCGTAAGTCCAGGAAGGTCGAGGATCCCCGGGTCGCTCTACCGTTCGTCCTTCTTAAAGGAATTGCTTCCTCAACGGGCGTTAAATCGACTTTCCCGACCTGCTCTTCCTGGCTTTGCGATTGACAAATATTTCGTGGTCGTCCTCCTTTTTTCCCTCGTCCTCCTTTTTACCCGGAATCTTGCTTGCTCTCTTCCTACCTTGTGCTTCCTGCACCTGGTCCAACGATTGCGCGCACTCTTGCCCTTCTGGCGTTTCGCCAACAATCCGTACCCACTACTACACATACTCCTGGCTAGCCAAGAATGCGCCGAGGAAAAGAACCGTGGAATCGATAGATTCGTCCGACGAATGTCCACGTCGAAACAACGTTTTCCTTTCCGCCACGCTCCCGCATTATCGTCCCTTTCCTTCGCGACTTGAACGCCTTCTGGTAGGCCAAGAAATTTTAGCCGGAGGAGGATCGACGGAAACGGAAGAAATATACGTCGAGAATTTATAATTCTATTTTACGGAACTGTCTATTGATAGCTTTCTCGGATCGCACTTGGCTTTCCTTCGATCTTTCATATTTAATCCTTGTCTCGCAGAAACTTCGATGTGCCATTTTACATCCAACGTGTGATCCAAAGAAAATCCAAGCTTGCTATGAATTTCCATTTGGCCTTCCTTCCTTCAAGTGTCCTTCGATCTTGCATATTTCATCCTTGTCTCGCAGAAACTTGGATACATAATTTCCCATCGAACGTGCGCTCCAAAGAACTTGGCGATGCCAGGTGACAGACCTCTAACCAATCTGTATCGCCTCTGGCAAAGGAAATATCGGAGAGAGATTGTAATCCACGGATCGAAGGACTCCGACGTTCGGCCGTTAAGTTCCCTCGGTACGGAGACGTCCCGGCGCGCGTATGATTTGCGGCGACGCCATAAATTGGAATTACTAATACGTCCTTCGTTACCGATTTCCATACAGGACGCGAACTTGCTCGTTCCAGCCAAGTAGATCCCCCGGTGGTTCTCCTCGAGTAGCGGTCTCTTGGAACCGGGCAAAATTCCATCGACCCATATTTCCCCCCTCGTTCGTATTCATACGTGTGTCGGTGGTATTCATACGGCGGCTTAAAGAGGAGGAGACGAAAGAAGTCGGCCACAGGCCGATTAGGATATCCTTGAAGCCTCGTCCCGGCGCCTCCGCGGCGAACTTTCAAAAGAACCGAGAGGGACATTGTACACGGGACCCCTTCTATTGCTGAAACTTTAAACACGTCATCGCTACTGCTCGCCGAATTAAGCCGCGTTAAGTACCACGTGACCTTCTTTCCAAGTTCCTCCAACGTTTGCGTGCCGTTCTGGACCTCTGGAGGAAAGTCAAAGAGGGAGGATTCTGGGAATAATTTACCCTTAATATGGAACTATCGACACACGAGACTCGTCGGTAAGTTTCTGCCTGGTCGACTACTTTTCCGAAACGTCCATTCCCCTCTGCCTAGTTTCCTTGCGATAAATTCACGATTCTGAGAGTTTC